TATTACCATCGTCAACAAACTCACCAACATGACTTGGTCTGTGACTCTATTTGGACAGGAAAAATCCATACTCACAAGACTTTATTAAACGTGTCGCGTTTGTGACATCGCCCCATGTTGTGTGTTAACGACGGAATTGTTGTGATAACGACGATATTATTGTGATAACGACTAGTTTTGTGTGAAGACGACTGGTTTTGTGTGAAAGCGACCAGTTTTATTGTGACGACGACGATGTACATGTGCTAGCGTCATATCTGTTGTGTGTGAATCTAATTTCGTTGTGACGGAGATATTACCTCAACGACAACTGCCTCATGCGAACATTCAAATTGACGAGGTAATTGACCCAAGCGTCTCAAACGGGCCTTCCCGATATGAGGATTCGAATAATCGTTCCCACCAGCACAAAGCATTATCTGCTCCATGCGCAACATCCACGAGTAGAATACGTTATCTAAAGTTTCTACATTGAGGTCAACAAGTGCAGCATTCACTGTCAAACAAATTGTATATGAGCTCATTCGGTGTCATATGGCTGTTGCAATTTAAGTGAACAAGAGGTCTAATAGTGAACAAGAGGTCTATTAGACCTCTTGACTGACTGAATTACAGTAAAGAAACCCAGAACTACCAAATTTAGATCCGGGCTCCGAGGTGCCTCACACCAACAACTAAGGTCAACAATTCCAGCTGCCACCGTACACCAGGCGCCACATACGCCGAAACGTTGTCTTGTTAAAGCCGAAGGTGTTTGGTGTCACGAGGCCACTTCGCCACAATTGTCGGAATCAGCTTTGCCATAAGCATGTCGCGATATGCAGTACGATCATCACTCACACACTTGGTTTCGAGGGTGCCTGCGGGTTGATTTCTTGACGAACGTGTAGCAGCAACTTGAGTTACAAAAGGCAAAATGCCCAACTTGTCGTCAAAGTGCTGTTTGCGTTGTCGGTCGAAGCGGGGCCGCAACACAGACGCCAGGAACATGACTTGCCCGATGAATCGCTTGATCTGTGTTCGTCGTTCGGGAACATCTTCATTTGGCGTCAGGTAAATTTTCAAGGTAAATTCAAGGAGCCGTACAGCTTTTTTCTGATCTACACAAGTATTGTGGGACGGAGGGAGTACCAGTAACTAATTCACCTTTCACACTAAGAGTATCACCTTCGCGTAAAGAGCAGGCTACTGTATCCCTGATAGAACCACTACTGGTAACGTTAGGTGAATTCTGCTCTTAGCGTTGGAGATGGCAATGGTCTCTTCTCCGACAGTTTCTGACAGTAAATTGAATATCAAAATCCCCAGAGGGACGTTAAGTTGAATGCGAGTGACCGGCTGCATCCGAGGACCGAGGACGCGCATCCATTATTGACACCACGTCGACAACACAACTGTCTCTCGCATTTAACCATCATTAGTGCGCAGTAGTAGTATCGCATGATTGGTGCAAAATAGCTTATGAGCGTAAGCAGTGTAAAATCTCAACCGACGAGACTCTGATGTTCAACCACAACCACACGACGACCATGATCTGCCTTACAAGCCAATACTACAACATTGCCATGTACATAGTACTCATAGTGTTAAAAGCTGCAGCGCAGACTATGATCGGTGCGGCCGCGACCGCGATGTAGGCCTTGACCGACGGCCACATCAGCCGGTTCCACGTCATCGGCGGCTGCGACGGCTACGAAGGCGAGCGAAGCTACTACACGGACTTGACCAAGGCGTTGCCGGACACGAGTGTCGTGCACACGGTCGGCTGCTACAAGTTCCGCATCAACCACTTGCATATGGGCACCATTGGCGACATGGGCATCCGTCGGCTGCTCGACTTGAGCCAGTGGAACGACTCGTACTCGGCCGTGCAGATCGCGCTGGCGTTGCAGTGGGGCATGAACGACCTGCCGCTGTCAACCGTGCTATCGTACTTCGAGCAAAAGGCCGTGGTGGAGCTCTTGACTCTGCTGCTCGGCATGCACATGATCTACAAGTGCTGGTCATTCTCAATCAATATATGGTCAGCAAATCAGTGGCCACCTGGGACCACCCATGGTTTATTCTAGTGCTACGACAAACGCCAAGGTATGACAAGCGACGAGTGGACAAGTGTCACTTTTGACATTTACCCTATCGACAACGAGAACACTGGACCGCTCCCCTCAGTCCATAACAAGCCAAAACGTCGTAGTGGCCGTCCACAACGAGGAAGTATTGGATGCTGTTTTCGGTGTGGACCGCACCACGCGTGGATATCAAAGTCCACACTGCACCGACGCCTACAAGTGGGCATGCTTGACCACCTATCAACTAACCTCAAGACGGCCCTTAACGCAGAACACGTGAGCTCTCGGCTGGCGTTTTGTCTATCTAGAACGACGCAACTCCGTCTGTCTTTCGCGAATTTGACGATACCATACACGTCGACAAGAAGGGTTTCGAATGGACAAGGACGTCATTATCTAAGCTGATTGGATCTATTCCAACTTCAGCCATCAACTCATCCACCGTTTCGTCGTCACATAGGGCAATGCGCTCGAGCTCCTGGGCCAGACTGGATTCCGTCGACTGCACCGTCATGGAGAAGAAGTTCCAAGAGGAACTGGACGAGGCCCGGAGCATGCATGAGGTTACCTCAGGAACCCTCCTACCGAACCCACCAACTTCAGGCAATACCTGCAACATGCACCGGTATGCTTTACTCGTCATTATCTAAGCTGATTGGATCTATTCCAACTTCAGCCATCAACTCATCCACCGTTTCGTCGTCACATAGGGCAATGCGCTCGAGCTCCTGGGCCAGACTGGATTCCGTCGACTGCACCGTCATGGAGAAGAAGTTCCAAGAGGAACTGGACGAGGCCCGGAGCATGCATGAGGTTACCTCAGGAACCCTCCTACCGAACCCACCAACTTCAGGCAATACCTGCAACATGCACCGGTATGCTTTACTCGTCATTATCTAAGCTGATTGGATCTATTCCAACTTCAGCCATCAAC